ATTTGCCTGTACAATTCAGATTTTTGCATTTGCATTTTTCACTTCAAAGGTATTTTTCCAGATGTTCCATTTAGTCTGTTGAAAGTCCTTCCACCTGGTACTGTTCATTGAATGCAATGGTTCTTTGCCTTCCTTTGGACTCCTCCAGTGTCTGTCCATGTGAAATTATTGACAGAATTAGCTATTATTTTACAGTAGAGTTATAGCTGTCCAAGTTCTAAATAACAGCTAAGACTAACCCCATGGTGAAAGATTCCTAATAATTTTCCAGATTTTCTGTGTTAGTGACAGGTTTCATGCATGCACTCAGCTATTAAAGCATTAGAGTTTCTTTGATTTCTTAATCATTAACAACTTTAGCTCTGATTGCCCATGGAGTTGCAAGCTGTTAAAATTATCATTTGCCTCTTACTGACTTTGAAACCAAGAGCTGTTTCTTCGTTAGATTGCAGTACAGGTCTTTCTCAGAGTACAGGCAACTAGAGAGTGCTAATAATCTACTATAAGGAAGCCTAATCTAAAAATAATGCACTTGTAAAATAAATGGGAAAAGGGAGCGAGTTCTGTTGTTTAAAAGATTACTAAGCTGTTTTGTTTTTTAAAGGATTCAACAATTTTTTTTCAGTAAAAAGTACCTCTGGTTTTTACAGTTTATAATTTAAATGGCAATAATTTTATGAAAAAGGTAGAGACAGGAAACCTGAAAATGATTGTTTCAATTCTAAGACGTCAGTTGAAACTCAACTAGAGTTAAGAGAATGTTGAATTATCATATAAATCAATAGATTATTAAAAAAACTGTGCTGGAAAAATTCTATTTATATGCAGCCTTTTCAAATCCATTCCCCTATATGCCTATAGTAAATGCTCAATTAATGTTTGTTACATTGATTTGATATATGTTAAGATCAATTAATAGTATGTAAAATGAAATATGTTACTCTGAGCATTCATTCATGCATTCACCATACATTCAGAGGTATTTACTTATACTCCACATGCAGTGTATTGAAAACTGATGACAGTTATAAAAAAATGGCTTATCTCTAATGTTAGCAATATACTTCTACAGAAGTGGGCTGAAGAAATTTATATCAGGCCAAGCGGCTCTTATGTACTGGTGCTGTGCAGGCTCCTTAAGAAACATTTCAGAACTTGTTAAAATAATTCCTAAACCCGATTCCCAGGATTTTGTTGGGTTGACCTAGCATGAGTTTATCATTTGAAATTTATGGAAAGCTACCCAGATACTGACATACCTAATATGCTAAGTGTCTGGTCATCCTTTCAACCAAAGTGTAATATGCTAATGATATGCTAAGGCCGCTCAGCTGCTCATTATGACCACCAGGGGGCAGACAGTCAACTGGTCAACAAGTCGCTATGACATGCATGGACCATCAGGGGTCAGATGCTCCAACCAGTAGGTTAGCTTGCTGCTGGGGTCCTGCCAATCGGGACTGAGCGAGATGGGCCAGACATGCCCTGGAGCCCTCCCACGGTCCCTCCAGACTGGCCATCTTCCCATGTCCCTCCCCAGCCCCAATTGTGCACCGGTGGGGTCCCTCGGCCTGGACAGTGCCATCTTGCAATCTGGAACTCCTCGGGGGATGTCAGAGAACCAGTTTTGGCCCAATCCCACAGGCCAAACCAAGAGACCCCACTGGTGCATGAATTTATGCACCAGTCCTCTAGTAATATCTATAGCTGTTTCTCCCAAGCAGAATCAGTTACCACAGATATTTGTTTAGCCTATTTTTAATGTCCCTATTCTTGACTTCCTGTTAAACTCCATCTTCCTCTGGGAAGACCCAACCTTCTGAGGTGGTGGCAGGGATAGGATTATTTCTTAGAGCATCAGGAATATGAACATCTAGTTTTCCTCAGTTCAGTATTTGTGATTTCCCGGAATTCCTTCTAAGTACCAATGCAATGCCAGACAATACACTGTTCTACCACATGATTTAGTAGTTAAAGCAGGAAAAGCTAAAGTTAGCACTACCTGGAAGCTGTCTCATATTTAGCTCCCACTAATACTGCTCTTGTACATAAACCATACTCCTGTGCTTCTTGATGTCATTCTTTATGGCACAGACCCCTACCAAATTTATCCCCATATCTTTCTCTGAGGAAGTACAACATAATGTTCTGGCTTATGAAGAGCCTATCGACAGAGTAACCAAGAATGGATACACGTAGTGCATCTTTGCCTGATCCATTTAATCCACTGTTTACCTTGCTATCCTTAATTTTATGATTAGAATAAAAACACTAATTTCTCAGTTCTATTTTCTTTTTTTTCTTCTTTACGTCTCCTATATAAGTTTTGTATTTAAGTACTGATCTGCAACATTTCTCTTGAATTCACCAGCTAATTTTCTTTTTCCCCATAAGCTAATATTGATGCATTTTTCATCTCCTGTGTAATACACTGTACATATAATCAATGCTTCCCACTCAATATCATTATTATTATGTATAATCATGCATTAATTATAATGAATTATGATTTTGAGTGCTTGTTAAAAATATAATCTCTCTTTCCTTAGGAACGTTCATGTCTACATTTTTCTGAGGGAGCAGATAATTTTACTTGTAAGCTTGCAGGCTTGCTAAGTACTGTGTACAAGAAGGTTGTGACATAGCATCCATTCTCTGAAAACTCACAGACTGAGAGAAATATGTCATTTCCTTTTATGGTGAAATTCCACTTGTCCTTGATATTTGTGCTCGTTAAGCATTTGTGAAGGACAAAGGAAATTTGATGAAGCATAGCTTGGCAAAATCTCATAATTACTCACTAATCCTGTGTTAAAATTTAACATATTGAATTCTATAGGAAACATTTCCATTTTCTCTTCTTCAGAGTAAATAATTCAAATTCCTTTAACCACTTTTGTTTACTAACTTTGTGAATGCCATACTTAATTAACTTAAATGCAGAAACATGGTTAAGCAATTTTAGCCTATTTTATATAAAATACAAAATTTCATAGCTGATAAAAGGAGGGTAAAATCAAATGACACCTGAGATGGCTCAATGAGGACAGGAAACTTCGTTAAATTTATTTACTAAGGATAAAATCATTCAAATTTTCTAGACAGAATGAATGGTTAGCAACTTCCCCACAGAAGTACCTAAAGTATTTGCCTCAGAAAGATTTTTTGCCTGGCTAAGATAATTTTTAAAGAGGAAAATAAATGAAAAATTCCGTTTTTCATAAACAGCATTTCTAGAACATCACAATACTATCCCTTCTGCCACTTCTTGGTATGAACCAATTGAAAAGTACTTTCCAATGGTTTTTCCATTAAATAAAAGAACATGTTTGAGTTCTTTTATATCATTAGAAAATAGCAACCAACATTTTGGTGATGTGGAATCATCACTAAAGTGATAATAAGGATGAAGTATTGTACCCTTTTTTCACTCTGTTCATGTTCTGACTTTATTTTTGTCATATAAGAAATAAATATAAATATCATTATGAATGACTTTGCAATTTTTCTTTGAAGTTTCATTTATCTATGTTATAATTAATAACATTCAAGATTGAATCATTCTTTAAGGCAACTAAAGCATTAGTTTGTATGATGTTTCACCAGGTCCATTCATTCTCTATCTGCTATCAGAATGCAGCCATCTTTGAGTATATCCTGTTCAGGTATTATGGACATTGTTAGCCACAATAATTCATATTAATGATCCACTTGCATTATGATATTAATGTAAGAGTCAAATGTCTGGAGGTGGTTTTGTTTATAAGTATAGTTAGAAATGAGCGGGAAAAAAGAATGGAAGGACAGACATCTTAAAGTGAATGATGGTATCTCTAAGACATAAATCTCAATTTTTTCTTAGTTTTTCTAAATTTATGAAATAAAATAAGTTAAATCTTTTAAAAAATTTGGAAAAAGAAAAATTAGAGTTGATGCTTCTTTCTTTTTTAAAAATATATTTTTATTTATTTCAGAGAGGAAGGGAGAGGGAGAGAGAGATAGAAACATCAATGATGAGAGAGAATCATTGATCGGTTGCCTCCTGTACGCCCCCTACTAGGGATCGAGCCCACAACCCGGGCATGTGCCCTTGACTGGAATCAAACCCAGGACCCTTCATTCAGCAGGCTGATGCTCTATCCACTGAGCCAAACCAGCTAGGGCTGATGCTTATTTCTTATTTTGTATTTTTTTATCCTAGCAGGGTTGCCCAGTTTTTAATATATTTTTTATGTCTCCCAAGCAGGCTTTCCTTCTTGACCATGCTACTGAAACATTTTTTTTTATTATTTCTTAGCAGTATGCAAAGTTCATGAGTTTCTATTACTAGGACCTAAAGATAAATACAGAACTGTAGGTGACTTTAGGGTTTCTTTTTCTTAATTTGGTAAATTAGCCTTATAGATGGATTCTTGCATGTATTTTGCTGCAAGCTGATACTTAGGGTTTTTCTGTTTGCAAATATGGAGAAGAGTTAAGGGAGACAAATGTGTTGAGATGCATGGGAGGCTTTCGAAGATATAGTAGAGTTGATAGGCTGATTCATATTTTAGAGATATTAATAACTTGAAAGCCATTCATCAACATTTCTCAGGCCCTACCTCCTAGACCTAGATCTTTGTTTAGATTAAAATCCCAACATATTTAAAGAGTTTCTACCTTGACCCATTGGCCATTAAAAGTTATATTCAAATCATTAAAACTATAACCAGGAACATCTTTGCCATTGGTGTCCAAAGAAATGCCTCAAAACTCTTTCTTAGGTAGATTTCTGAATTTTCAAAAATGGGTCTTCCTAGCCCCTCCCCCTTCTTCTTTTCACAATTGAGAAACTTTCTTCACTTTAGCTTTATGAGACTGTCAAAGGAAAAGAATCCTATCCAACTATCATGAAACTTTAAAGAAGACAGGATAAAATTGAATGCCTTGGGAGTTCTGTGCAGTACAAAAAAGCAAGGAATAATTTGGTTTATTTGTTTTTTCCCATCTAATATTTTTAGGTACAAGCCTATGCAGAAAGTGGATGGGGTTGCAGATGGTTTCACAGGAAGTGGTCAACAGACAGGCACATCTGTTGAGCAAACTGTAATTGCCCAAAGTCAACATCATCAACAGTTTTTAGGTATGTTAAGGTGTAATGCATATTAGTTGCTTTTAGGATTTTGAAAACAAGAGAACAATAGTAGTGTTTTCTTCAAGTGAGATTTCTATTATAGATGTTAACCAAATGGAAAGACTTTTTTGTGTGCTGAAACTATGCACATTGTATGACATTTCCAGTTCATTTCTATTTTCTCATGTTCACTAAAGCTTATTTTTAAAACTCTTGAGCTATGTAGGACTTCTAAATGTATATAAATTAAAGGCTATTTGCTGTGAAATTGTTTTTCAGAATTTGTATTAATTGGGCTTTTTTTAAAAATCAAAATTGTGTTATGTGTTTTTTACATTTCAGTAGCAACTTAAGTTCCAAAAAGAATTATTTTCTATGTATAAAGTTACATGTGCATACAGCCTCAGATTAGAATAAAAGTTATTGTAAGCTTTTAAAAAGTAATTTATTCTTTTAACTAGATCACAACACTTCATATATTTTTTTTAAAAATCATAGATAATATACATGTTTCTCTTTATTTAAAGAGTTAGGAAGTGGAACTTGATCATTTTGCATCTTGTCATAGCCAAAGGTGCAAAAATGGCACTTTAATTTAATTGAAAACTCTTCTAGTGATGAACATGCATAATTTCTGTACAGCAGATCAAACAAGATGAGTAGAAGCTGTCAGAGAGTGTGTGTGTGTATGTGTCTGTATGTGTTTATGTGTCTATGTGCACTTTCTGAGAAAGACAAGTTGGAGAAGTTGAAAATATTATGGCATCATTTCCCAAACTAAAATTCTTAGGTATATTCTTATGGGCCTTTGAGCTCTCAAGAAGAATATTTTTTTATTTCATCTTTTTATTTCGACTATTATCTTTAAAAAAAACAAAAGCATATTCTGGATCACCTAGAAGACAAGAAGGAATACTGTTCTGCAATTTTAGTTTCCACATTTGTATTTGAATTTATGATAAGGCAGACTCCAAAGTGTATTGCATTAATAAGAGCTATGAGAAAAGAACAGAGACTTATTATGTAAATTACGCCTTCATCCCAAGGGAAGGCTACATGCTGTCCCAGTGCTCAGTGTGAAGGAACATTTCACAGTCCATTTAAATATAGAAAAATAATGGGAGGTCCAGCCACGAGGAAATACCTGTTGGTATAAGCGTGTCAAACTCAAAAGTTCCTGTGCCACAGCAGTCAGTACCTCAATCATGTTCCATACAGGACAACAGCATCATCCATCACATCAAGTTAATGTTGTTGAGTTTAATGTTATTCTTGTAGTTTTCTTTGTCTTTATTTTGTAGGTTTGTGGTTTATAATTATATAGGAAGTTTGAGCATAATGAGTTTAAAGCTAGATTTTTTACGTGCTTAAGTAACATAATAGTAAAAATAACCAAAATTGATTCTGGCAACTTGATATATATATATGCCTTATATTAAAAGACACTATGATGTGATATAGTAATAGTGAAAATTTAGTTTCTCCAAAATTTTTATGTTCCCTCTATTCTTCTGAGCTGACGATGTTGCCAAGTTTTGCTTTCTAGTAGCAATATAAAAAATCCTTGCTCTTTGGGCCTCTGATCTTTTATTTATTTATTTTTCCTTTTTTAGTTTGCTTAAACTTTCCTTCATTAATCTGTAATTGGCACCATCCACAAAGCTTTATTCTGTTGTGTTGTCCTGGTAACAGATGCATCTCGAGCACTCCCAGAGTTTGGAGAAGTTGAAATCTCTTCTCTGCCAGATGGTACTACCTTTGAGGATATCAAGTCACTGCAGAGTCTTTATCGAGAGCACTGTGAGGTAAATCTTTTCAGACATAGTACAACCCCTGCTGAGTTGTGCTAGCCAACTTACCAAAATAAAATAACCAGACTTATTCCTAAGAGACATATAAGTTAGTTGATATTTCTTTGAGCACCTATAAGTTAATTTATCTTCTTATCTCAGAGTAGAAAGGTGATGACTATAGGAAAAGGAGAATGAATTTTACTGTCCATTTTCTTAGCCTATTCTAATGAATCCTTTGATGCATTCTACTTCGAGGTTTTTATCCTAGAAAACAGGTTTACATGTGGATGAAGAAATAAGTGCACAAGGGAACTAATTTACTGTATTATTGTTTCCAATGCAAAAGATTGGTTATAACTTCAATATCTAGTAGGGAACTAAATAAATAAAATATAGTATAATCTATAAAGTGAAATATTATGCAGCTATTAAAAAGAATAGGCAAGTCTAAATGCACTAATATAGAACAAACGTAGAATTTATTTTCAAAGGAAAAAAACAAGATGCAAAGCAGTGTGTATAGCAGCATACTATCATTTGAATAAAAAACAGCATGTATATACATCTCTCCAGAAGAATAAACATGAAAATGTTAATGGTGTTGATTTTGTAAAGGAAATTGGGTGACTGGGTGGCAGGAGAAAGAGTCCTAATTTTTCAATGCACCTTTTTTACCTTTTGAATATAACACCATTTTCTATCAAAAATATTTTCTGTAAATGTTTAATAAAGCACTTCCAGGGATCATAGAGGCTCCAGTTTTGTTTTTGTGGTAATTAAAGTTCCTGTTGGTATTTTGCATCCCTACTCCTATCCCTTTCTGAATATCCCTCCTCAGAAGTGGCTACATGGTCTCCAGGAGGAGAACTCTCTCCAAGGCATGACATGTACCTGCAGCTCACTTAGTACCGAGGGAATGATGGATTACAAGGAGAGTTTTCATAAGTGCCTTTCCTTTTGAAAGAGGAGTCTGTTTAGAATTTAGGAAGCTTTATTCCAGGGCTATCTATGATCTACTTATAAGTAAAAGATAATCCTTTAGATTTCACGGGCTGTCCTCCTGACTGCTGACAATGCAGTATAGTGAGGAGTCTCAGTTCATAGCATTCACAGATTTTTCATTCTCCAGAAATAAGAACAGCTTGAATAAATCTGAGTGCTTGTCAAGGGTGCTAGATTATTAACAACCAAGGGCAAGCTCTCTCTTTATTAACAAGCTATGTACCACATTGTTTTCAGCATATCCTGCCAGTCTGTTCCCAACATTTCTTGCAATGATGAAAGACACTTAATATATGTTTTTCTTTGACTACTGCTTTTCCTAGTATTAGAGAATTTTTGGATGATACTTGTATATCTAGGGAAAATTTCTTTTTACATGTATATCATATATATGAAGATTCTCTAACCATTTTCTTATTTCTCTGTACTCTGAACCTTGCTTTAAGTAAACCAGTCTACACAAATATAATTTGTATTTCTTTAAGTTTCTCATACTTATTCAAAGTATAAGTTGGAGCAATATTATTTACATTACTAAAGAATATATAGTAAGATTATTCTAAGTGAAAACCTCCCCCAATAAAATGAAAATATTCTTTGGGTTACAAAATTTTCATCAACATTTCTATTTGTAGGATTATATGAAGAGAGATAGACATGTATGATGATTAATATGTGTGCAGTCTATAGAATGAGCCCAATTTATTTCAGAGTTACCAGAATTCATGCCATCTCCCATGGAGCATAGGAGCAAATATGAAAAAGAAGAATTCTATTTTTTTCTGTGAAAATTCCGAACTTTTGAAGTACAGATACATGAGTCATTTGCTCCAAGCCAATATAATATGGATGATTTTAAAATATATTTGATATGTATTTTAATATGAACATATTTGAAAATGGGTGATTGGACAAAGGATACGGGTTTTATTCATTTGTAAAACTGCCTCAAGAGGCTACTGCGAAGAATGTCCTTTTTGAAGGCATTTGAGATTGACTTAAGAGTCACTAAATTTAAGATGCACTGAATTACTTGCTTTATTTTATATCGTGTTTAATACAGTTTATGTTTTAAAGAAAGCTTAACATACCTATTTTGCCTATCATTTAGAATTCTCATGATTTATTTATCAAAGATATTGTGTAAGTATCACTAGTTTTAGGTAAGGAATAAGTATAATTTTCTACACAAGGTGCTACAACACTATTTTTTTTTCTTTTAACATACACATAGTGTTCTTACAGCAATCTCATGGATATAAATATGTAAGGTATTATGTGAGATATTAATAGCTGTTTCATTAATAGAACTCTCTTGCAATGTGCCTAAGCTACAGTTGAGAAAGCAGTTATAATTTTACCTGCCTCTTGAGAAGGTTTTAGTTTTTGCCTGGGAGGAGGGACATCTATACGCCCTTTATTTGCAGGGCTTGCACTTGCATTTTTTATTATTGCTGATATAAAAGGGTGAAGAAGAGTACGTTAACCTTTTGAATTTTATACCATTTTCTAATTTGTCCCCTTCCTTCCATTTTCATTACTAACTACTTGGAGCTTTTCCTACTAGTTCCCAGAATATGTCCCAAACAGATTTTGCTTAATATTTGAATTGTTTTCAGAGTTTTTTGTGTAGATCATCATTTATTCTCTGTATCATACATAAGGTCAATCTATACAGGTAGCACAGCCTTCAGAATTATAACATTATATTTTTTTTCTTTTTGCCTAAAATCCTTAGATTGACTACCAGTTTTCCTCTGTTGTCGCTTAGCTTATGTGCATTTTGTAGATCTTGACTGGGCAGCTGTCCTCATTCTCAATGCTGAGGACATTAAACACACTATATTGACAACTTCTGTCTTTTATGCTCAAAATAATCACACAATCATGTGTTCTTTGCACAAGTTATTCTTTTATTTTATGACTGCTTTTATCTGAAGGTGAATTTATAAACTAATTGCAAGGGCAGGACAAAACTAAATATGATCATCAGAAGTTAATGGAAGTGGCAAATTTTACCATCCTCAAAATAAAATTAATCTCCCAGAGCTGGATAATGGCTCTAGGAGGTAAAATTAAGGAGAAGGTAAAGCCCCTGACGCCAGATTAGAGAAGGGGATGTTCTTAAAGCTGCTCTCGAAAGAGCATGCGCAGAATAGGATTGCATGGGAGGCATTGCGTGACCAAAGAGAGGTGCTGGCTGTACTCTCCTGCCTGGCAGGCGATCATCTGAGGGCCTTCCTGACTTGACTGTAGATTGTGACCCAGCCTCTGCGTAGCTGGGAACACATTGGGACCCATGGTCAGTAGCCTTCGACAGAGCTACTTTTAGCCCTAACTCTGCCTGCCACACGCAAGCACCCCCACACCCTTCACTTCCAGCCTCTTTGATGGCCGGTGGGGGGACAGTCAGCTCAGTGAGGACTGACATGAATTGAATCTATGTTTTGTGCCCTTCGCTCTGAGAATATGAAGAATGGCAGCAACCCTGGAGGCAGAGGGAAGCAGTGGGTAGAAAAAAATGAAAGAAAAGTAAGAGAAGAAAATGGAGAAGAGGGACGCAAGCATGGGGGAAGAAAGAGGTGAAAGTAAGAGTGAGATATGAGGCCATTATGGGAGGGATATCAGTCATCCTGCCTAATCTCTTAAGAATTGTTTTTCCCCTTAGCTAATCTCTTTTGTTTCCCTACTTCCATTGGCCCAATTTAGTCCAGTTTTACCATGTTAAGTTATGAACCCAAAGGTATTTTTACCATTTAAGTCCCTTTACATTATGTTCTCCTCTCACCTCCACATAAGAAATATTGTAAGGTATACCAATAACCATTTTGTTTCTTAGGCAATATTGGACGTTGTTGTGAATCTTCAGTTTAGCCTGATAGAAAAATTGTGGCAAACATTCTGGCGCTATTCTCCCTCTACTCCAACTGATGGCACTACCATTACTGAATCAAGGTCAGAATCAATAAACTTTCCAGTTCATTTTCATGGCTAAGTAGATGTCACAGTTAATAAATTAGAGATATGTATACCAGTTGTGAACCCTACCTGATAACATTAAATGAATAGATTGAAATAAGCCACAAACTGCTCTCTGGAGGTTTCAGCGTGTGTACAATAGCTCCCATTTTATTGCATTGGGGGACTGTGGTAAAGCTATTTCATCTTCATGGATTTAGTATCATATATGCCTTTCTTGCCGTCAGAAAGTATTAATGTGCATAGGCAGCTCTGGGGGGTGTTATATATATCCAGCCATATGGCACCGGTGCAATGGTGGTATAGTTCTAACCTCAGTAATATTTGATAAACTAAAACTATTTTTAAAGTCCATTTTCTTTTTTATCCTCATTTGCCATCTATTCATTTGCTACATTTATTCACCCCAGCAATCTGAGTGAAATAGAAAGTCGACTTCCGAAAGCAAAGCTGATAACTCTGTGCAAACATGAGT